TTAAAAATTCTTCTGTACTTGAACAATTTTAGGAACTGCATTCAGGAAAGTTCAAAATCTTAGTAAAGATACAAAGGAATTTACCAGGAAGTTAATGGAGCTGAAAGACTTCAGTTATGAGTACAAGTTTGAAGAGTTAGGACAGCTTTCCTTATATCAGAGAAGATTATGACATGACCCAATGGAAGTTTTAAAGACAGAGGTTTTCAAGATGGAGAAGGGGGTAAAGAAGATACAATCTATGCAATGTAAATCAATAATCAGAGGTCACAGATTTAAAATAATTGGCAAAAGATCTAAGTGAGAGAATCACAAAAAGTCTTTTTCACTCAGATTTGTTAAGTCCAACCTGAAAACGTGGTGGAGGCTGATTGCATAAATAATTTCCAAAGAGACCTGGGGATAAGAAACTTCGGGTTATGCGTAAAATAAACAGAGAGGAGTCTAAGCGTGGCTGTTCTTTCAAGAACGAAGGGCCAAATGCCTTCTTTGATGATGTAAGATTCTGTGATTTATGACTGGATTAAAAGGGATGAATACCAAATCAAATCAAACACAGATAAAAAAAGTTATTTTTTAAAATCAGAAATAAACTGTGAAATGAAATTCAGAAAGTTCACAAGCTTTTTCTGCAGAGCCTACAGTGTTGCTATTTATAATATACTAAATTTGCTACGCCAATTGCACAGGTTCTTTAATTAGGCATCAGAGTTTTCTGCTTGCCACATGAGCAGTTGAATACGTCGATCACTAAACAGACAATCACAATTCTCAGAAGCTGCAGATTCCTATACCTGCAGCATTACTAATGCACTCTGTGGAAACAGAGTTTTGAGTTGATTTGCTGTAGAAATTAAGGAAAACAGCTAGTATGACAATGAGAAAGAAATCCACAGAAGTTTAATTACCATTTTATACTTCATACTGCAGCTTTATTATTAATTGAAACAAACCTTATGCTGCAACTCTGCCCTCTGCTTCCTTGTCTCTTCTAATGCTTTGGCAATTTCAATGCTTATAGTTTCTCTGCTGTTTAATTCTTCCTGCATTCAAACATTTGATGTTTTTTAGTATAATTACGCAATTAAAACTTCAAAACAATCAGATTCAAGTTGCACATTAAATTAATAGTGCCATTAAATTATGGGGGAGTAAATTAACCTAGATGTTACATATGCAAGAGAAGGAGCAAGCTAATAACACTGCTGTGATTAATTGAAAGATTGATGCAACTATTCAAGTTGTGGTGTGAGGGAGTGGTGGACGTGAGAAACTCATGTCATGCACTAGTTTTAAACACTAACAGAAATATTGCTTACTTACATGCAGTTATATCTCTTTGGGCACTTGAAACTTTAGGTCAAACAGAAGCATTCAAATCTGCTCAACTCACTTCATTGTTCAAATGTTTGATTGCCTATGAGATCAGTAGTGCTCAGCATCTCAGATAGTTTGAATACTTCCAATCAATATCAAAATATCACCCGAATGCCTATTCTACTTGATATTAATGAACTTTTAACGGGCTAGTTGATTACTTAAGTTAGATATTTTGAAGAGCTTCTATTCAAGCTAAGCTTTAGGATTTGTGATAGAATAATGAAGTGTTGACAAACTATTTATATTTAATATTAGTAAAAATATCAATTGTACAAAAATAATTTTGATGCATGTTCATCATAGTGAATATTTCCCAATTAGAGCTGCCTATAATACTGCACAATGTTTACAAAATAATTTTGTCAATAAAATGATTGTGACGTGTTTTGAAGAAGGGTCATTAGTTAGAAAACGTTAACTCTGCTTTCTCTCCACATTTTCTGCTAGGCCTGCTGAGATTTTTCAGCGATTCTGTTTTTGTTTGTCAAATGCTGCTGCTGTTTCCAAAGTGGCAGCTTAATTAATAATAACAGTTTTTTCAGGTTTCTTTATTCTATGCTTGCTCTCTGCACCAGATAGAATCACTAGTCTTCGACAGCTTTAATAAGTGCTTCACAGCAGCAGAATATGCTGTTTTACAGTGAGATAACTATTCAATTACATTCTTTCCACAGGCTACAAAAGTCAGCTATGCAAGCTTCTCATTGTCCCAGTTATAGAAACCATACTGGGTCAAGAGGGAAGAGGAGTCAAATAAAGGACATATTAATTACAAAGCAGGCTTAGAAGAATGAAAAGAATGCGCAAAAAAAACCATGCTTTTAGAAGAATGTCACATGTTGAAATTACAAATCATGAAGTAGTAGAAAAACCAGAACAGTCTTAAATATATGCTTTTCATACATTACAGAACCTTTTATACCTGTTAAGATTATTCAACAGGCATTAAAATGGAGTTTGAGTCATTATTGTTAACTAGTTAATGCGCTCTTCAAATGTTCAATTACTATATTCCTACAGATATTTAGCATAAATTAATGTAATACTTTTTTAAAAAAAATCAGTGTCATAGAAAGTGAGATAACAAGGTGTAGAGCTGGATGAACACAGCAGGCCAAGGAGCATCAGAGGAGCAGGAAAGCTGACGTTTCGGGTCTGGACCCTTCTTCAGAAAAAGTGTCATAGAAAGTGTCCATTCCACGTAGAAAAAAAGTAACAAGAAAGTTGATACAGCTGCAGCAATAAAGGTAGCAAGTGAAAGAAATAAAGATTATACTTTGAAATGGGGATGTTTTTGATATGTTCCAGCAACTGGTCACCCAACATGATCACTAAGTCATGAAACAAGTCTCTGATCTGCCCTCTCAGCCTGGAACAGTAATGACATTATATGGAATGGAAAAATCATTAAAAATATTAGTTTAAAAAAAACATTCTGGCTTGTAATTTTAGAATGTAATACTAACCTTTGATCTTTCCAGTTCACATTCAACTTTCCTCAATGTGTTTTCTGTGTCATTAAGCCTGTCACTTAGCGCTTCATTTTTCTTTTGGAATTGGCTCTGTGCACAAGTGAACACAAATAGATGTATTTGTACACTGGTCAATTAGGCTATAAGGCTGTATATAGTATAAGTCAGCTAAAAGACATTTTGATTTCCCATGACTGGAAATGTGAAGAAATGATCTTACAGGGACAAACAAATTAATGGAGAACGTTAAACACAGACTAATGGAAAAATAACTTTTGTCTAATCGAGCTTCAGACCACAAGAAAACAATACGTCCACAGTTATCTGATATAAAAATAAGCACTGGTAATCTAATAGGTATTTATTTTGTACCATAGCTTTTCATAGTTCATGGAATTATTTTAAAGTATCGTAATGTTAAATGGATCACTTTTTTATGGCATTCTCTATTTTAGGCAAGTGCAAATTATATCTTGTAAAACACTGTCATGTTCACCATTCTAAAAAACAGCATACACTCCATTTCAGTTAGTGTAAGAGCTTTGTTTTCCCTTAGAATAGGGGAGGTTGAGAGGGGACATGATGGAGATGAAAGGCACAAATGAGAGTAGACAAGGAGAAATATTTCCCCTTGATGGAGAGATCAATGACCATGGGAGATAAATTTAAGGAAAGGGGCAGTAGGTTTAGAGGAGATACGAGGAAAAATCTTTTCACCCAGGGGGTGGTGGGAATCAAGAACTCACTGCCTGTAAAGGTGGTACAGGTAGAAACCCTCAAACATTTAACAAGTATTCAGACGTGCACTTGCGATGCCAAGGCATACAAGGCTATACGACAAGTGTTGGAAAATAGATGGTTGTTTTTGACTGGTGCAGCCACAATGGGCTGAAGGGCCTTTCTTTGTGCTGTACAGCCTGATGACCCTACCAGCCATACTCTTTTCCTGGTTATTCTATTGCCCCTAAAATACATATAAAATGTCTTTACATTTTCCTTAATGCTAACAGCCAGTGTTTCTTCGTGTTCCCCCTTCACTCTCCTAATTTCTTTCTCAAACAGGGCCCTACACTTTAGACTTTTCTAGGGCTTCCACTGTTTTGAGCCTTTGGTACCTACCATAAGCATTTTTTTTTGTTGGTTAACCAATCCTGTAAATCCCTTGGCATCCAAGGTTCTTTATATTTGTTGGTCCAACCCTTCACCTTTACTGGAATGTGTTGACCATGCACTCTCACTATCACCATTTTTTAATGTCTCCCATTATTCTGATGTGGATTTTCCTGCAAGTAGCTAATTCTAGTGCACTTGGGCTAGATACTGTCTTATCTCACCAAAGCTGGTCTTCCCTATTCAGAACCTTTATTTCTCATCCATCTTTGCCCTTATCCATAATTACCTTAAATCTTACTAAATTATGGCCATTATCACCAAGATGCTCTCCCACTTCATTTCCTCAAATCAGGTCCAGCATTGCTCCTCCTTTTGTAATAGTTCCTACGTGCTGGCTTAAAAAGCTCTCCTTGACACATTTTAAGATTCTGCCCCTCCAAGCCTTTCACATTTGTCTGACCCAGTTTATATTGGGGAAGTTGAGGTTATCTGCTATTACCACCCAATTTGGCTACATATCTGTCTGTCTATCTCTCTGTGATTGATAAGGGTGTACTGCAGACCCCCCAAACAAAGTGATCGCTCCCTTTGGTTTTTAAGTTCTACTCATATGGCCTCTGCAGTGATTGAAACCATGGCCACATGGATCTCACTGACAATGAGATCCTTGATTGGGGTTGTTAGCCTGGGCCAATCAGGGAGCCCTGGCAAACAGACATAAAACAGGAGGTTCAGAAGGTCTCCTCAAGCTAGGGTTTGACTTTGAGCTGGCTGGTCACAGCTCATGTACAGTGCACATGTAAATAAAGGGTGACGTGGTGATGGGATAACGGACTCTGCAGTTATCTTAGTGGCGACAAGAGTGGGATTAATGATGTAACCATGCAAAAGTGCCTACTAGCTGAAGCCTAACTAGACTTCAAACAGGCACTACAACTGGCTTTGTCATTCGAGAACGCGGCAAGTGGAGCATGGGAGGTACAGGGCATCCCAACGGAAGTGGGCTCCTCACCTGTCTAACTGAGCTTGGGGAAACCACTTGAATGTAGGCAATCGCAGTGCCTCACGCAGGGCACGTCCTGAGAAGAGGGAACCTAGACCAGCCCACAGCAAAACTCCACAACAAAGCTGAGCTTCGGCCAAATAGCTAAAAAGTTCTTCAGGATCCAGGCTGGCAAGCCATTGTATGTGCTACCGGTATGCGGACTTGAGACAGCAAAGAGTCCTACGAGACCTGACTGGAGTAAGAGAACTCATAGGCCAGTATCTCGTCACCAAGTCACCCTTAATTTACATGTGCACTCTACATGGGGTCTTATCAGCCAGCTCAAAACCAGTCCCTAGACTGAACAGACCTTTGGAATCTCCTCTTTATATCTGTTTGCAAGTGACTCCTGATTGGAAACAAAACAGAAACATTGCTGGAAAAGCTTTATCAAGTCTGACAGCAACTGTGGAGAGAAATCAGAGTTAATGGGGTCCAGTGAGCCTTCCTCACAAGGGTCCCCTGATCAGCCTAGGTTAACAACTCCAATCAAGGATTTCATAATCAATGAGATCCACATGGCCATGGTTCCAATCACTACAAACCTCCCCCACTAAATCCGGGATGTAGGCTAGTTCTTTCTCTTGTAGATTCTCCTGGAACGTTTTCACCCCAGGTCTGGTTCCTCTGACTCGGACCATAGCCTGTCTCTTATGGCTGGAGCATCTTGGGAGAGTTTCCTCCTCTTCTTCTGGCAGGAATGGCATCAAGGCATCTTGGCCTCTGAGGTTTCCTCAACATAAAACTGGGAGGGAGAACCATTAGTTTCTGACAGCCTTTCTGGCTATCCTTAGGGGCCAGGTATGTTTTGCTCCTGCCCAGTCGAAGCTTTCAAGTGATCTATACGTTTGTTCAGGACCACCTCACCTACTCAAACTTTGTATGTCACGGGACATGACCTCGTGTCAACCTCGCCTTGTACCCATGCCAAGTCATTTCTGTGGTTCCGGCACCAAACTTCGTCCCCTGAAGTAAACTCTCTCTCAGTTAGAGGAGGCAACTTGGCCGGCAATGGCATTCCTGCTATCGTTTCAGCCCCATTTGAGAATTCTTTTAACATACTGTCATTCCTTACTGCAGTAACTGACTTCTAAATCAATATTGCAACAAACCTGCTCTTTTACATCACACTATCTCAGATAAAGATTCTATACACCAAAACATTGAGCTGTCAGACCTGTCTTTCTTTCAATCATGTCTCAGTGAAAGCAATGATATCACATCTCCATGCATTAATCAACTCCCATCAACTCATCTGCCTTACTTGCAAGCTTCCTTGCATTAAAATAAATGGCTTCAGCCTTGCCTTGTACTCTTACACCTTAATTTGACAATATTTTCACTGCCTTCTAGACTGACTTGGTTCTTCTATAATCGTCTGTGCATCACTACCTGCTATCCCTCCACTCTGCATCCCTGCCAAATTCGTTTAAACCCCCAGCAACCGCACTGGTGAAGCCTCCCACTACAGTTTGGGTAAAATCTATCAGAATTGTATAGCTCCCACCTTCCCCCGAAATGGACTCAGTGATCCAGGAATCTAAAGCCCATTTTTCTGCTCCAACTCTTCAGCGATGCATTCATCTGTTTGATTTTCCTATTCCTACACCTCACTGCTTTTTAACCTGCTAGCTAGCTCCCTAAATTCTTGTTACAGGGCCTCATCCCTCTTTCTACTCATGTCTCGTTCCAATGTGATACTCCCTCCCCTTTCATATTGCTCTGCAGCCAGTGACATCCTTGACTCAGGTTCCAGGGAGGCAATGCACTGGAATCATGTCTGCGTCTACAGAAATAGCCGTGTGTACATCTCACTATTGAATCTCCTACGATAATTGTTATTGTTCTCTTTCTGCTCCCCACTTGTACAGCTGGCTCTGGCTGAACTCCCCAGCTTATCACAAGCTGAATGGAGCTCAATCCAGTGAGCTTTCTGATTGGTGGGGTAAGTCTTCACTGAACATGCCCAACCCACATTTAGGTACAGGAGAACTAAATCTTGACCACTGGGTGGAAGAGGATGGATTTTACTATTCGATTTACCTCTTTCTCCAACCCCATTCCTGATATCCTCCATTCTGCCAATAAGATGTAAGGAGATATGACCCAAATGGTCCTGGCATCTTCACCATGTGAAGGGAGACTGCCACTAAGTGATGGCTGCACAACTCCAGTTAATGGCCTAGAAGGATCAGAAGCAGTTACCTACTTACTTAATCCTTTGATGTAGAAAACAAATGCCTCTGAATAAAAACGGAAATAAAGCATAAAATTTTAGATCCTCATTTTTGAAAAAGATCACACTCGCAGCATATTACTTACTATCTTGTGTTGTGAGGCTGTTTTGTCAAATTCACGGGCAGTTTCAAGAGCAGCCATTTGAGCATCCACTCGGTTAGTCCTTTCTGTGTGCTGATGTTTTAAAACAGCAATTTGATGCTGCAATCTATTGTTTTCAGCGTCACTTTCTTCTTGCTATGAAAAATAAATTCTCATCAACAAAATCTCAATTAAACTTACTACAAATACAATTACCTACAACAAATCTTGAAACTTTTCTTTTTAAAAAGTTGATTTTGTTTTTGGATTCGTAACAAATTCATTTAATTTTTCTTACCAGCTTTTTTAATTGAGCTTCTTTTTCATTCATATCATTTTCTTTTTGCACTAGCTTTTTCTTCGTAAAATTTAATTGTTCCTCCAATTCATTGATCTAGGAAGTAAGCAGATTATTATAACTAGGTGAAACAGTTGCTGGTTTTCTTTTAAAATTTCCAACATTAAGGAAAGATCAAATCAATGAGAACAGCTACAGCTCATTCATTCAGGTGCTGTTATATGTTTTCTTCAAACAGCCATAAGAGTATAAAATAAAAGCAGATTTTCAGGCCATGTTAAATATTAAAGATATTCCACAATCTGTCAACAGGTGGCCAAGTAATTGGACTACAGTCACATGTTGTTAATAACTTAAGGAATATCTTCACTGAGCCAGGAAAGCGGGGTTCAAGTCCAACCTGCTCCAGAGGTGTGTAAAAACAAGTTGATTAGAAATATCTAGTGTTATAAAGTGGGGGTCAACACCCCTCTGATAACTAAAACCAAAATGTTCAGAGAGGCTTGCCTCCCCCTATAATCTGTTAAAAATGTGAAAAGTCATATAACATGCCTCTCACTCCAATCTGTTATAAAGTAGCGGTTAAATGAAATAAACTCCCGACACTCACTCTATAATCAACAAGTTAACAATTTATTTATCTAACTCTAACAGTGAAGAAATTAACTGAACTATTAACAAACCGAACAATTCCCTTCTAACTACTGACTATTTCAGAATAAAATAAAATTCTAATGGTGTGCTGTTGTAATAAATACAAGTCCCACATATATAAAAACAAAAAAAATTAGAACTTAGTCTCTCGAAATTACAGACACAGTAGGAACTGCAAATGCTGGAGAATCCGAGACAACAAGGTGCAGAGCTGGATGAACACAGCAGGCCAAGCAGCATCACAGGAGCAGA